ACACACACATGGACATTTCTTATGCCTATGCTGCTGCACATCGAAATGGAAGTCTGTAAAACACATTTTTTTTAAGTTATCAAGCTTAAAATCTGGACAAACGAACACACATTCCAATTTCCTCTTTTCACACAACAGAAGACAAAAAATATATCAACATATTTAAATCAAATGTGAACAAGAGTAACAAGCTGAAAATATTAAGAATGAAATTTAACACACAGAATAAAAAAATAAAATAAAAAACAGAAAAAGAAGTCAAAATGACTGATTAAAAATGTGTTGAAGTTATATGGGGAATTGTTTACTTATTAATTGAGATTTTTACCTTTAAGTGTTTGCTTTTCTTTCTGGATAACAATAAAAAAAGTAGACAAAAGGGGGTACGCAGTGAATCTACAGAGAAGCAGTGCCATCAGCTGTAACATGTCCTGTCAGCAGGATTAAGAGACGGCAGTAAATTACCAGCAGAGAGGAAATGCAACCAGCGCATTAACTGTCCACAGTGTCAGCTTTTACTGAGTCAAATTCAAATCAGATCAATTTACATTGACTCATTTTTAGAGAAAACACAGCTGGAAAACAACGAGCTGTTCCTGTTGAAGAACCCACAAATTATTGTTTCTTCTCTGTTTTCTTTTCTACCACAATACCTCCAATCTCTTGATGCTGTTTAAGCACACTCCATGTCACAATGCATGTCATTACTGCTGCAGTAATAGAAGCTTCTGTAAAAAAAAACGTTAAATTTTCTCAGTTGAAATTAGCATCAAACATCTGTTTTGTGTAAACAGATGTAATTTTTGGCTCCACAGCAGAGTGATGAGAAAAAAATGGGTTAATTATCAATTTTGAGACTTTCTACAAGTGTTTTGCTTTATCACACAAACTGTTAAAAACTTTTGCTTCATTACTGTTTCTAGTCTAAGAAAATCATTTGGTCTGAAAATGATGAAAGTGTATAAATGATAAACACAATTATCATTAGAGTTTAGAGACCATTACTCTCTGTAAAAACTAATTACTTACTTTCAAAGCTAAAATCTATTGGACTCATGCAGCTTGACACAAACTATGATCATAATAATAATGTTTTGCTGTGGAACTCCCACTWCTCTGCCACTAAACGTCTCATCACAGATCTGTAATGACAACAGCTGACTGACAGAAAAAAATGGATCATTCAAGCGGAAAGTGTGAAGGCAAAAATGTGGCGGAAACAAACATGTCGCCATATGGCTGCTTTGGGACTGAGCCAACCCTGGGCTTAATTATTGGCCTCCTTTTCTCATCAGGCACAACACTGAAGTACTCTTGTTCAATCGCCCCTAACATAACCAGAAACTTTTTACCTTGATTCTATATATGATTTTATGTTCTTCATTGTATTACTTGGTAAATTTTTGTTATATTC